TAATATTATATATATAAATATATTATAAAATTTAATTACAAAACATACAATATTTTAATCTGCAAGTTTGTTTGGCGTATTTTTGTGCAATGTAAAGATAGATACGCGTCTCTGTGGAGAACCGATTGTAGCTTATGTTAATGATTGGCGATCATTGAAAACCAAATTGCAGGTACACTGAACATTTACCTTGACAAGAACGCTTATATTTGGGTCATCGAGATTTCAAGTCTTCTTAATGTAAAAGCAATGCCATCGGCGTAATAAAACGTCTGGCGAGATGATGTAGGGTATCTTTGCACAAGACATAGCCTCTTACACCATCGCGACAATGCCTTAAATGGGCAAGACGGCTCTTTCAACACATTCCGGGAATAAATGCACACACTCGGATATAGATCGGATTGCGTACAATTAATTCCATACGTGATATTGCAAATTTAAATTACAAATTATACCAAACGCGCTCTTCGCGATTCTTTTCTCTTTGTGCATTTTAAATTTTTATACAATATTTTTTATCTTTCATATAATGATGTATAAAAAAAATCGAATCTTCATGCAATTTCACTTTTATCAAAATCATATATTTATTGATATTGGTATCTATTGCCAATACTAGAGTTTTGCAAGATATTGCATTAAGTAGATACATATCGTCGCCGGTAAGGCAGACGGCTGCGGATAAACTCCATCCTATCCACTGCGGTCTGACAATTACCTGCTTCGACTACTTCGACTTTTCTTCATTAACGCCTAACGATAATATTTGTTTCTTAGCAGATTTTATATCATCTATTTGTTGCTTTATAAAGAATGGATTTGTTAAGTATAAATATTTGATTTTTACATCAAGAGTTTTTAATTTTACAGTTTGTGTTTAAATATATATTCTATAGAGTAATTAATACTCAATGATATTTTTAAAACTTTTCTGCAACTTTCAAGCATGATTTGAAAATTGTCTATTTGTATTTATATGAAATTGCATTAAATTTTTATATTAATATTACATTAAATTCATATGTGACACGAATATAATGTATTTTTCTCTCGAATTTCGAACTTTGATATTTTTACATCATAAACGTTTTCTATAAGTTTCTCTTTAAAAAAAATTGACATTTTAGTATCATATTCTTTCTCATTTTTATCCAACTTGTTAATTCTCGATATTAAATATCTTAATATTCAAGCAGCAAAAATAAAATTTAAAATAATTCAAGAAATCACATCTTGATCTTACTCCCAGTATATTAAAATTTCATTTTATAATGATAGGATATTTTATAGATTATTTGACCAATAAAATTTCTTATGATACATAAAATTACTAGTCAAGATAGTACAAATTTTTTATGCGAGTTTTACAATAACAAATCACGAGAACATTAAATCTCAAGCTATAACTGTACTATATATATATATATATACATGTTTCATATATAATAAATAATCACTTTGAAAATATGGTTACTCACCTCGTCGCATGCGGCACATCTCGGTTTAAGTTGTTCCGCATAATGCCTCTCGCAGAAAAGCGTGTCATCGTGTACGCAATAAGCAAGATCGACCAGGAGCTCTTTGCAATCCGCGCAGCTGAAACACGCCGGATGATAAAGGAGACCCAGTTTGCTGGCTGACACAGCGAGGCTGCCGTACTTCAGGGACAATCCGCACACGCCGCACTCCTACAAGACAAAAGTGGGTATTAGAAATCTCGATGCTGTCAATACACATACGCATACACAGACGCGAAATTAATCTCAGAAGCGTTGTGTAATGTCAGCAACTTTTTTAATAATTCGGATCAATTCTTTTTCAATTCTTATTAGAATATTATATGTGTGTGTTATATATAAAATATTATACAATGCGCCATTTAGTTTTTATAAATAATAATAGACAAAAATGATTAAAAAATCGCGGTATCTCTTGCAATATTGGAGTGTACGAATATTAAGAGTTTCTTTTATATCTCGTGATATATGCTACTCAGAACTCTAAATAAAAAACCGGAATTGCGAAAAAATTTACCTTTAAAATATTTAAAATAAAAATTTTATTTAAAATTAAATTACAGGATTAAGAACGTGCTGTAAAACGATCGAATCGCAAAATTGAATAATTAATATAACGATAAGTTTCGTGATACATTAATCGTTTAATAAATAATTGATGTATAATTTAAAATACTTATATAATATTTCGCATATATATTTTATAATACGTAAAATAATTCGGCAGCGAATTAGGACAATACCTAACATGGTATTTGGCCTTGGCGTCGTAAACATTGACGCGCGTAAACATTGTTTACGTATCACGGATTTGCTATCATTCATACGAAGACACTCGAATAGAACAGTAGTGAGGCGAGACGCTCTATAAAATTCCTTTCCTAAACGCGATCTTCGGATAAAAATCTCTGATAAATAATAAAATTGAATTGAGAAAGGATCTCGTTTGACGATCGACGAACAATTTTCAAATTTTTACACTATATAAGATATTTAGAATATTTCTTTGTACTTTTCGCCTGAAGCTATATACGTACGAGATCTCTTTCGAGAACTTCCTGCGCGCTACCGATGTCCAGGGCGATCTCGTTTCTGGCAGCCATAAAATCGTCGGCGCTGCTGGCATGTTTGGGATCTAAATGTCGACAGTAGGCCCTTGCTAGATCCTGTTTAGGCAATTGGATCGCCAACTGACGATCTCTGTGTCGCTCGCCAGGCGTGCCGAGTCTTGGTATAGCGATTTCTGGTAGCATCGAAAAATATTCTTCTATCTGCGAAAAATATTTCATTAGTATCTTGTGTAACGTGTAAATTGCAAGTATATTTATTCGTGAGTGCTGATAAATCTTTTTTTCTTGTTAATATATGCAAACGTCGACGCAGCAAACAGATAAATAATTTTTAATTAAATTCTAAACTTTTCATAAATAATTTTTCTTTAGTTAATTAAAATTTGGTTCATTAAAATTTTTTAATTATATTTTTTACATTGAATGTCAAATGTAAAAAGAGATATCTTAATATAAATATATATAAAACTAATAAAGTTTTTTATTTTGATACGGCAAATTGTTTCATAAAAAAATGATTTTTTATAAAAATGACATCATATATATCTGTTTCTTAAATTGTATAAAAAAAAAGATTTATTCTATAGCATATACACACAAAAATAATAAAACAAACAACTTACGAGAAAAATTCGAGGGTTTGTTTTCTTGAATATTTACTTGAGATCTTTCTGATTACATAAAAATAAAGCCGTGCGAATTTGATGGGTGTAAAAAATCTTATAAGCTAATAACTGTGAAGTTATATATACAGAAAGTGACGATTTTAATCTTTCCCTTCGCGATAAATATTATGTTTATGATAACGGTCTCTGATCACGGTATCTCTTTACAATATTTCTCTCGGAGAGTATCGATATTATTGCGATTGTGTTTTTTCTCCGGCTCTTGCACATGAGAACTATGATTTCTTTTTCGCTTATGTTTCCATAGCGAAAGAACGTGGTAACAAGCTACACAATGCGGTTTCAATATCCCGCACGGATATCGAAAACATCATAATAAATGCATCACAGTGCTGATTGGCCGCGAGTGGCCCGGGCTCGTAAAAAGTGCGAGGATCGCTCCGTAATATAGCACACCGGCGGTGATAAAGGCCAGCTCTAAGTCATAAAGCTTTGCGTCGGAGCTTTTCGAAAAATATTGAAGACTGGCGGCATGCCAGGCAAGATTCTCGCCGGCCGTCAAACGTCTTGCGCATCTATTTTACTGTGCACGGCTTCGCTCCTCTACCTTTCCCTCGCCCACGATCACCCGTTATTATCCTATTCGCTTCGCGATATAAACCGCAAAAGACTGTTTAGGGGAACCACCCTGTCCGCTGTACTTCGTGCACGAACGGCGATAAACGCATAAAGATTTTCCAAAGATTAGATTTTCCGCGATAGCCATGGTTATATAAAATTAAAAAATAAAAAATTGAAAAATGAAGATACTTCTGTTAAAGGTAAAAGATGATTTGATATGATATAAGTACATTAAATTGAATCGAAAGTGGAAAGCTTTTGAAAAATATTTATGAAAATTTTTGTTTGACAGCGATATCTTTAGTATCTATAATTTTTTGCTTTAATTGATTAAATACACATAAATAGATCGCAAAATATTTTTCACTTCATATAATAATAGATTTTTATTTTTCTTTATGCACTCTATTTATTTATCATATTATTATGTCATTAATTAATGTTTAGGTTCTGATGCAATAAGCAAATTAAGTACGCAGAAGATCTCTTGATATCTCTTTGCACATATATAACACATAGCTCGTCCACATAATTTGTATGAAATATATTTTAATTAATGTTTATTCTTATATTAACATACACAACAAAATAAGAAGAAATAGAAAAATATATTTACTTTATGCGATGGAAGTCCGGGAGGTGCCCAGGCGAGGCCTCTTTCTCTAGGATCCACACCAATGGGTCCGTTCGACTCATCGCCTTTAAGTCCCAAACGTGACCTAACAGACACCCATTCTTCGTGACAAACATCGTGGGCCTCTCGCGGGCACTTGCAGCTAGTGCAGTTCTTCCTGAAAGAAAATCAGGTCCTCAGTATGTATGAATAATAAAACCTTTATATCATTCATGCGTCAATATAACCGATATAAACTTTGATTTAATTATATAAAGAGATTATTAGAATTTTGTGAGGATTCTATCAAAATCTCTCGGTTAAATTTTTTCTATCTAGAAAAATCTCTGATAAATATTTGCTCTTATCTGTTCATTAACTCTGGACACGACGCGTAGTGATATATGAGGTGTCCAATAAACTTTTATTATCTTTATACGCCCTCGTATGTCGATGATCGCTTAATTAGACTGAGGACTAATAATTTTTTTTTGCATTCGTATTAGACTTTTTTTATTCCTACAAAGATACAATGTAATTGCTGTCAGCTCTAAACATTCATGGCTGGCTGACAATTATCGTCATTTACTAATTACTATTTCATTCGCGTGATGCTAAATACTCTGTTATCGTTAATTAATATAGTCAATTAGGTAATTAAGTAAAATATGAATAAAACATTATGGAAAGGCATTGAAAATGGATCATCGCTATAACTGTATTAAAACTTATTAAAACAGAACAACAGAAGTTTAAAACAAGAAGATAAATTTAAAACTCTGAAAAAAATTATTTCCATATTTTTTATAAAAATACATAGACATAAAGGATTGCGTTTGTAGTATTCGTATCGTTTTACACATTTATATTTTACAATCTCTCATCAATGACAATCGATGAATCGTAGATCGAATAGCTCGGCAACAAACGTGGAAGAGATTAACGCGACAGGTAAAATATGATATTTCTAGCCCGACGTGAAAAGATATCGATATGTACGTGACACGTGGGTGCGACAGGAAATTTTTACTCGCGAAAAGAGTATATGTGTGAGACACCGGATCGATACTGGGACTATCGTATCGAACGGCAATCGTATAATCAAGGGGATGCATTTGCGGTGTACATTTATGGCGGCTCTGCTACCGCACCCTTCCGGATGTCCATTCCAAGGTCACCGAGACCCTTACCGTTAATGCGAGGGAGACTTTTTCCCTCGTGGCTATATTTACGTTTTTCGTATGTGATCGTCGGATAAGAATTCGAATCATATATCGCGGCAAGAATTTATTCTTTTCCTTCTTATCCACATATTTTTATTTTAAGACCGATTTACGTAAAATCAATTTGCAGACGTAAAGTAAACGTTTAACATTTTAATGGTTATTTATTCCTCCCTTTAGAGATCTTCAGAATGCAAGTTTTAATTTAGTTTTTATCGTAACTATATCAAAATGTTATGTAACTTCGATAAAATTGCATAAAAGGTAACATACCTCCGATTTTATGGTCACTTAAATATATTATAGGGGAGATTCTTCTGAGTAATTCCCCGCAAGAAATAAGTGGGGGACGGCATTGGTTTAGGAGATATAACAAATTAAAATTTCATAGTTTTAATGCTTTTTCTCAGATATTATAAAATAATATTAGGAAAAGCGAAGTTTGTGTACGTTGTATTTGTTGTAGAGCAGACGAAAAAGTGTTTGTTTACATTTACGGGATAGGTACACGGTCATGGATATTTTGTCAATAATGTGTTTCATCTATTTCTCGCAGTTCTCTGATATATAACAGGTTACACAATTTTTCATTTCTAGTCTCTACAATATTTCTAATTATGTTTTATCTAAAATTTTACAATCGATATAGTGACATATAAAATTTATAATAGCACATAAAAACTCAGATATTAGAGACAGTATATTATTCCCTACTGTATTTTTTTTTTTTTTTTAAGAAATGTCATAGGTACACGGTCATGGATATTTTGTCAATAATGTGTTTCATCTATTTCTCGCAGTTCGTTAACAGCCTTCAACATGGAACTACATGAATTTGTGAATCTTGCGTTGAAAAATATTATTTATTGAATGCGTGGACGGAGGAAGGGCTCCGTTCCTTGGGAGGTGTGTTACCTTTTATGCAGTTTTAGCATAACTTCTTTTTAAATATGACACGTTTTGATTTGTACACACATTCATATATACATATATTTGAATTGTATATAAGATTTATATAAATTATTAATTCCGAAGACATAATATAATGTCACGTGGATAATGTCAGTCTTACAATTATCGTATTTACCAACAATAACGCGGTCTCGCGAGGAATTCTATTCTATAAAAGGTTATCGTAAGTCATGGAAGACCTTTATTCGTCTTTTCCCTTGATACTCTCGTTACAGTCTACTGAATCTTACGCGCCTTGTCGGACGCGTTTCGATATTTTACGCGAGGGTGGGTACAAATTAATGTTGACACCTCGTTAATTTGACGCACATGTGTAATATTATGTGTGGATTATAAATCGTTCGAACTGATATCGACAATCGCGTTTATCGTCATTCGAAGGTAAACGCATAACATTCAAAAATCTTTTCTATTTTTATCTTTTATATAGTTTATATATATATATATATA